CAGACACCAAACAGATCCTCTGTGTTAAATAATTCAGCGTGTGTGTGTGTGTGTGTGTGTGTGTGTGTGTGTGTGTGTGTGTGTGTGTGTGAGACAGATGCTTGGTGGTGTAATGTTCAGGTGGCTCAGTTGGCTAGACGGAGTAGTTACTTAATTAAAGTGACTTATATGTAACGCACACTCAAACAGCTATTCATGGTGACACACTCACCCCTGAGTCAGAGCTCACGTCTCATGCTGAACACGGCTGGCATTCTTCTGTAGTTGGAGAGGAAGAAGATAAACAAACCAATATGAAAACCGTCAAAAACAATAATAATGGCCGACAGGATGTTTTAGAGTTGAAGCTAATTAAATTTTCCACCCATCCACTCAAAACTGAAAAAGTCTGGGTCAGTGGGTCATTTAGGACAGATTATTATTCATATCAAAGTTTATGCCAGTCCGTTCAGATATTTTATTTGTACAAGCCTCTGGACAGTAAAAACATTTTGATCCCACATACTGATGCAGTGCAGTGATGAAGCAGTCAGCAGCGTTGCCTCACATTGAGAAAGGTCTGGCTTTAATCTGACATTTATTTGTTTGCAAAGACGTTGTTCTCTGGAGTAAGTCTGGAACAGTAAGTCATTTCATTTTCACCAAATTTAGATGCAAAGAGACATTTTTTCCTACAACTCAAAAGCTACTTTTTACCTTTAACATTATAGACAAATCTCAAAGAGATCTCATCAGATCTCTTTTCAACGAGTTTCTTTGTGGTTGGGCAAGTTTCACTCGTCATTTATTTATGTGCAAACTTTTAATCCGTTTTGGTTTGGCCGATTATGTCACAGCCGGGCGACAAAGGCTGTCCCAATTATGAGGCTGCTCCAAATGCGGCCGACCCATTCTTCATTTCGCCGAATTTCAGGGGGGGTTGGGTGTATCCTCCGTGGCCCAACCTATCCCAGAATTCATAGCGTGGTCCAGCAAATTCCAGTTTCCAACAATTGCGGCAAATACTTAGCTTTAATATTACTCTTATTACTATTTTCAATACTTTTTTATTTAAATCATTATTTATAATATTTTTATAATAATATAAAAATACTTTTAAAATGCAGCAATGGCGGAGGAGCACAACTAAAGAGTTTGAAATATTACTCTTTCTGGGTCACAAAATAAACTTTTAAGATATTTTCAAGAAAGTAGGTTTGTAAACTTCAAATATCTGCTTGATTTATCAAGACATCACATATTACATGTTACCCACCAGCTCGATAGCTGACTGGGTGGTCAAGGCAAGTTTCCGGCGAGCCGGCGAGAACACCAGACTCCCGGCACATTGTTTTCAGACCCTGCGCAGTCCTTCGCTACTCAGGTTAAACATGATACTGTATATAAATCACTTAGATAACTTAAAAATGCTAGTTTGGCTTTTTGCAGTGTTTCATTTGTTCCTGAGTAAATCGGTTTGGCTGAGATTAAAGTTATAGTTTTCACACATCTGAATAAACGTCAAGCAGAAAACTGATTAAACAGAAGCGTGAGATGGTCGAGAATTCACTCCAGTGTCCTGATATACTTTAGTGAGCAAGGCGCAGACGGCTGAGTTTATTAAACTCCACAGAGACAGCTGCAAATCTCAAGGCTAGACCGTCCAATTTCACAGCCTCACACTTCCAGCCTTCTCGGTCTTCGGAGGACAAGCCCCACATAGATGCCGAAGGCTGGGTCCTCCGAAGGATGCGGCCCCTGAATTGGGACACAGCCAAGGCTAGACACACAGACATGGAGTATGACTGGTTAGGGGAACAGACGGAACAAACACGGAAACAAGAGTAACTAAACATGAAACACAGGAGGCACAGAAACCAAGAGACTAGAAATTCTAAACAATAATGAAAGCAAAGACTATTAATAATTCAAAAACACTGGGTCACCGACTCAGGACCGTGACAGCATCTGAAATGACCAAATTCTACCCTCCTCTCAAATTTAAGCTGAAAGTGAAACGCCATTATTTTACTTATGTGATGCATCCTGTGGTGACTACAGCGTATTTATGACAGTAGGAGCCTGCAGTGGGCTTATCTAGGCAGAAATCCAACACCATAGGACACACCTGAGGAGGAAGTGACACCTGGTTGCCATGGGCAGCAGGGGATGGGTTAACAAAATGTGATGTAGAGAGTCTGGGAGAGAGCGAGAGAGCAGGAGGATTGTTGGTCCCAAAATGTTACAGTGGAAACTTACTGCACATTTTCAAATTGATTTCTTTATTGAAGTTTTTACATCCAGCAAGGTCAGAAAACAGGACCCTGGTCTGGGCAGAGCTGTTTGACTGTAAGAGGACTGATACTCGACCTGTTTTTCTTGGAATTATTTTTCAAACAGAGGTGATGTGTGCCTGTGATCTGGGAGGGATTTCGTTCATTAAACATTGAAGATTTTGGAGAATTTTGCAAGAAACTAAAATTCAATGAACATCTGAACAATTTCGAAACATTTCCTCTCATACGTGTGGGTATCGCCTCTAGACCGTTACCTCTGGATATAACTGTGAGCGTGCTTGTAAGTAAGTTTTCACTGTGCACGTGAAGATGTTCAAGCGTCGGGATTATGTGGAGCTTTATGAGAAGGATCAGGCCAAATGGGCGCTGATACGCAACGTCAACACTGTGATGAAACACAGCACTCTGCTGCCGGTATGCTGACACTGCTTGTGTCTTAAGTCTCATAAGTCATAATTACATGGCTTTTATCTGTAGCATTTGTGTTGCTCCCTGCTTTGTTATTTACGTGTGCCTTTTTTCTTATACATGAGAAGAATGTTGATGTAATACTGCAGAACTGTGTGTTAAAATAATTATGCATGGTTTTCTGTTCTGGGTCACTTTTGACTCATGGGTCATCTGAAGAGATCATGTGTGTTTACGTTTTTAACATGGCTGTTTATGTGTGTATACTTCTGTTACTCATGCTTCCCATTTTAGCTTCTCTTCATTCTCTCCCTGTTCAATCCAGAATTTAATTTAGAATCCCCTGCTCATGTACAAAGAGCTGAATTTTAAGCCCCCATCAATAGTATCTTAAAGACCTCATAGTGTTGTACACTGCTCAACACACTAAGGGAATAATTGTTAGTCCGAGTAAGCTTCAGTTAAACTTCGTGAGCATTGAGCTGGTCAGTTAAGGCGACTGTTAATGCTGAAAGACAACGATGACACACCCCCCAAAACAGGAACAACTTTACAGGTGGACCCCCCCCCCCCCCCCGAACCCTACAGAGGTAGCGCAGGTATTCCAGCTCCTCCTGGATGGCACATCATTATTGCCGCTCCCAGTAGGTTAGCTGCGTCACCCAGCACAGTCTCAAGAGCATGGAGGAGATTCCAGGAGACAGGGACTGCAGAAGGTCCTCAAGCCATCAGCGGGAGCAGTATAAGGTCCTTTGTGACAGCAAGAAAAGGATGAGCACTGGCAGAGCTACAGGCCATTTGTGTGAATGTCTCTGACCACGCAATCAGAAACAAAAGTCATGAGACCTGAGGGCCCATCGTCCTGTAGTGGGCTCTGTGCTCACTGCTCAACACCGTGAAGCCCGCCTGGCATTTTCCATAGAATACCAGTATTGGTAGGTCCACCACTGGAGTCCTGTGCTTTTCACAGATGACAGCAGGGTCGTCCTGAGCACGTGTGACAGACATGAAAGGGTCTGGAGAAGCTGTGGAGAACATTAAGATAGCTGTAAAATCATTCAGCACGACTGGTTTGGTATTGGGTCAGTGATGATCTGGGGAGGCATATCCATGGACGGACACACAGACACTACACGCTAGGCAATATCACCGTGACTGCCATCAGGTATCAGGATGAAGTCCCTGGACTTACTGTCAGACCCTACGCTGCTGTAGTGGGTCCCAGGTTCCTCCTGGTGCACGATACGCCTCATGTGGTGAGAGTATGCCGGCAGCACATGGAGGATGGAGGATCTGATACCACTGAGGAGGAGCCACGCTCAGCTGACTTATATCCAGCTGAGTGAGACGTTATGTTTTGGTCCATCCAACTCTGCCAGGTTGCACCTCAGACTGTCCAGCAGCTCAGCGATGCCCTGATCTGAGGTCAAGATCTGGGAGGAGATCCCAGGACACCATCTATTGTCTCATTAGGAACAGGCCCCGATGTTATCAGGCATGCAAGCTTCTGTAGGCCGTACAAACTACTGAGTACCATTTTAAATGGCTGCAATGAATTTTTGTGAAATTTTAGATTACTGGCTTAACATAAAATCTTTATGTAAATTGGATTAAACCTAAAAACTGGGTCTAGTGGTAACCTACTAGAAACGTCTGGAACTGATTAAAGGTCAGACAGAAACCCTCAAAGCAAAGCAAGGATTGTCAGTCTGCTGCAGGTACTGTATTAAAAGCCAGTCGAGTGTAGAGTAAAGGTATATAAGACACATTATTAAAGAGAAACAGTTCTCAAAGAAACCATAATTTAATTTCACGTACAGAAGCCTGTAACACAGAGATGAAGGTAGAAGTTCTAACTTCTAGGGGGAAAAGCTTTTTATGGCTTTTTTTGGGCCGAAGTCAGCAGATTTTTTAAAACTGTATTATTCGATTTGACTTTTCATTTTATAAATGCAGGTTTTCTGTCTTCATAGCCTTTAAAATAAAAGTTTCAAAGACATTTAAGGATTGCTGCTGTGTGGCAAGATTTGTTTCGAAAGGCTTTGAGGAATTATTTAACCTACAGTCTGATTTCTTCAGACCACGAGCTGGTTCTAAGTTTTGATGAAAAATATTGTTTTTCATGATGAGTTCACATATTAACGCACTTTTCTGTCAATGCTGCTTCACGGTTTCTTTCTGCTTCTTGCTGATTTCTTCATTCTTCATTGCTGTTACTCTGACCTTGATACTTACTCTGTTACTCTGATGCTGAATGATTTAACTCCCAAAATCCTAACATCCTGATTTCGGCTTGACTGTCTGACTTCCTTTCAGGGCGACTATGTCTGGTTGGACCTGAAGACTGGTCGGGAGTTTGAGGTGCCAATCGGCGCAGTGGTCAAACTCTGTGACTCCGGACAGATCCAAGTGGTGGACGATGAAGGAAATGTAAGCACTTACATACAAATAAAACTTGTTTTTTAAAGAACATGTCTTGGGAAGCATGTCAGTGTCTAACACTAATCACAGACACCATGTGACCGTTGAGATCATTAAAAACGTTTTTGGTTTTTTTGTTTAGGATCAAAAATGTCCTGAATTTCCAATGTGCTTTCTCAACTTAACTTCCCATCCTCCTTCAGGAGCACTGGATCTCCCCCCAAAATGCCACCAACATCAAGCCAATGCATCCCACCTCCATCCACGGGGTGGAAGACATGATTCGCTTGGGAGACCTCAATGAAGCTGGTATCCTCCGTAACCTGCTCATCAGATACAGAGAAAAACTCATATATGTGAGTATGACTGCAGCGATTACTGCAGGGCTGAGCCTACTGAATCTAGTTTACCCTGGACAGGCTCCCAGTTCCTCACCATTATGGCTACTCTTCACAATTACACTACACTTACAACTTGACTCAAACGGTGTGTCTTTGGACTGTAGCAGGAAGTAGTGTTTGATATATTAGAAACTGTCATCAGTACTTGGAACCAAGGAGTGACTGAACAGGCTCAGGCAGAAGCAATGCTTAAATATGAAAAGCCTAATTCTGCTCATTAAAGAAACTCTACCAACAACTATGTAGAGTACAAACTAAATCATTCACACTTGTAACCCTCATCCTGCTGGATGGATGGAACTCCAACAATAGAAATACCTTCATGTTTAATCCCTTTAATACTGTTTAAAAAGATTTTTCTTCACAGAGTAAACAAAACTAAAACAAAACTTTATATAAAGTCTTTTCTTAATTTTTTATGTGATTATTTATCCCCTCATCCCCAATGGGTCGCAGCAGATGCCCCTCGCTGAGCCTGGTTCTGCTGGAAGTTATTTCCTGTTAAAAGAGAGTTTTTTCTTCCCACTGTCGTCAAGCGCTCGCTCATAGAGGTTTATCTGACTGGGGTTACTCTGTATTATTGCAGCGTTTTGACTTTACAACATAAAGTGTCTTAAGGCAACTGTCGTTGTGATTTAAAGTTTAAGGCTTTAAAAGGCTTCAAAGTTTAATACAAACCTCATTTTTATATAGAATTTGCTATATCTCATTTATTTTGACCCTACTGCTATATGTTCTGTCTGTTTAAGCAGCTTTTTAACACTTTATTCGTCACCTTACTCTTTTAACTCTCTGTCACTTTTTTCTCACTCCTCTCCTGTCATCATAATACCTTCCTTGCTTTATTTTCTCATTACCTCTGTTTGTTATCCTCCTTTATTTGTTCCTGTTTCTACTGAAGACAAACTGTGGTGGCAGGGTAAGTCAGCCCCTGAAACCCAAGCATAGACAAAGGCTAAAAAATATACAAGGATATGCACCCACTGCATGGATTTAATGCACGCTGCATGGCCTCGATCACAGTATACAGCGTGTTTGCTGCACGTTTCAGTAGACATCATGTATTTGATGGGACTTCTTTTCTTATATGCACTATGGATGGATGTGTCATGTTGGCGCAGGGACTATAGTAACTCACTTTGGCTTAACAGTAACCAAACTGAGAGCTGCACCATGTTTCCAACATGGCTTTCTGTTCTCTTATGGCGAACAATGATACGTTCTCATTGTCATCCTTCAACATCTGAGCTACGCGACCTGTGTCAGCTCATGTACCCGCTAACCGGCACCGGCTTGTTGCTCGATCTTTTCAACAACAGACAGCCGCATGACATTTTTTTGTAATATTTCTGACGTTGTATTGTGGACATTGTACTAAAGGATCTTCGGCTGGCTTCTTTGATAATAGATCAAATTTAACTGAAAGACTTTAATCTGATATTGACAGGTGCTTTAATCCTTAAACATGAAACATAAAATGCTGACCTGTTCATGGCTGTTCAGTTTTAAGATGTGTTTTTGAACTATTTGTTAGCTTCTTATTACACTTTGCCTTGCTCTAGTTTGGACCCAGGAACTGTCTTTTGAACTCGTTCATGGTCAAGTCCTTGGAGGAATTTTCCAAGTATAGCATGTTGAGGAGAAGCAGATGTCTGTAGGATTTGTAGTTACTCAGTACTTATCTTCTTTTACACATCAGCTACCAGCAGTGTGAGTCCAAAACATCAACACCTGGGTGACCTAAAAAAAAAACATAATTTGGTTCATCCTCGTTTTTTCTGTACAGACGTACACAGGCTCCATCCTTGTGGCTGTCAATCCTTACCAGCTGCTGCCCATCTACACGGCTGACCAGATCCGCCTCTACACCAACAAGAAGATCGGTGAAATGCCACCTCATATATTTGCCATTGCTGACAACTGTTACTTCAACATGCAGAGGAACAACCGCGACCAGTGCTGTATCATCAGGTTAGGAAAAGTTCAGACTGCAGGTGGCTCAAATACAAACCAGCAATCATACAGCAAGGATGTGAGTTTTAACCATGCAGACCAAAAGGTTTGTCAGTCAGTCAGATATCTATCTAATCTTTTTTATTTTCTATCAAATTATTAAAATTTGTGATTAAAAAACAAGAAAAGTAAGAAACTGATAAAAATGTAGGTGCTGAAGATCTCGTAGAATCATCAGAAACTTTAAAATGATAAACAACCTCTTGGTCTTTCTCAAACATGATCACATTTTCTCGCTGTTGTTTTGGTTTGATAGTGGTGAATCTGGAGCAGGAAAAACAGAAAGCACCAAACTGATCCTTCAGTTTCTGGCGGCCATCAGTGGTCAACACTCCTGGATAGAGCAGCAGGTCCTGGAGGCAAACCCTATACTAGAAGGTAACACACACACACACACACACACACACACACACACACACACACACACACACACATAAACAGAGAGAGAAAAGTGAGCTTTAACTCATTATCTGGAAGAAAATCTCTATGAAGTAGACCAGGGCTGCCCAATCCCGGTCCTCGAGAGCTACCGTCCTGCAGCTTTTAGATGCATCCCTACTCCAACACAGCTGAATCAAATGGTTTGATCTCTACAGCATGCCATCATGTTTGGCAAAGGCCTGATAACAAGCCATTCATTTGATTCAGGTGTGTGGGAACAAGGATGCATCTAAAAGCTGCAGGACGGTAGCTCTCGAGGACTGGGATTGGGCACCCCTGAAGTAGACAAACTCACAGATGATGATGTGGATTCACTTTAGCATTTACGTTTATTCTCTCACAGTTGTAACAGAGACATGTTAGTTCAGTAATCTTGCAGCTGAAGGTTTTACAACTACCCGGCAGCACAGACAGACTGTGCTGACTACCAAAGTTATTTTTAAACATGTACATTACTTCATTAAAAAATATTCTTCATTAATAAAATTTTAAGCTTTACCTGAAAGTTAAAGCTTCAGATAAGATTTAATGGATGTATTATAACAAAATTCAAAATGATCAGAAGAGCAAAACACTGTAAGATAGAGGTCTGCAGCAGTGCAGTGACAGGACATGTCACATGAAACATCTACCTCCATTTAATTGTTAATTAAATCAGCAGGAATTACTTATAAGATGAAACCAAATTAGCAAGATTAATACGTCGTTCAACATCTCTGGTCAATTCTTTGCCAGTTAGCCATTCATTGTGATCAAAAATCAACTCTATTTGGCTTAAATGTTGGGCAAAATGATAAAATGTGACCCGGTGATTCTTTGTGCATAAGCCAATCTACTTTATAGCCGTCATGATAAAAGCAGGCAACCTATTACGTATGTGCAGTGCACTGTGAGTGCAAAGCAGGCGTCATTTACACTTCAATCCAGCATGGCGTGAATGTCTCACCTGAGAGAAAGACGATCGTGAAACAACACACCACGCTACATGCTCACATGTCTGAGTCTCCTCTCATATTTCAGTGAATCTACTGAAAACACACAGTGAAAACATTTACAGCCAAGAAAGAAGATAATTCCTAAAGAGTCTCCATTAAGATTCCCAGTGGGCAATCAGACCTTGACAGAAATGTCTTTTGCATTGTTGGTGTTTTCTGTTTTTCTTCCAGCCTTTGGAAACGCCAAAACGATCCGCAATGACAACTCATCTCGTTTTGGGAAATACATTGACATCCATTTCAACAAGCGAGGAGCCATAGAAGGAGCCAAGATAGAGCAGTACCTGCTGGAGAAATCCCGAGTCTGTCGACAGGTAAGTCCGAAGCTGATCAGCTCAAAGTTAAACTCCTGAGCATTTTCTCAGTAACTAACTGTGACATAAAAACGTCATTCTGTTTGTCGTCTTGACTTAAAGTAAAACAAAATAGCCAAAAGTCAGTTCTATCTTATGATGAATTAATCCCTGCAGTCTGCAAAGCCTTACCTTATCTTTTATAATATGTAGTGGTGTAACACTGATTTGACTTTTCTCCTCTCTCTACAGGCCTACGATGAGAGAAACTACCACATCTTCTACTGTATGCTGAAGGGAATGACTGTCGATGAGAAGAAGAAACTGGGGCTGAGCAAAGCCACGGACTACACCTACCTGACCATCGTGAGTTACTGTCTCACGCTGCGTAATTGGCTGATCAGTCGCCTTATCGGTCAAGAGGAGCTTTGATCTTTACAGCTGTTGAATAGTCTCTTATTAGGGGATCGTGCCAATCAGGAAAACAGAGATTATATCAAATAAAAATAGGATAAAAAAAGTAAATAAAATATGAAAAGACAAAGACTTTGTTCTGATCCCCATCCATCCCTCCGTCTCTTTGCAGGGTAACTGTACCGTTTGTGATGGCCGAAACGATATGAAGGACTACTCCAACATCCGCTCTGCAATGAAGGTACTAACGTGTGTGCTGCTTTACCTAAAGTTAATATTGTGTATTCAACTATTTAAATGTCACCAACATACTGTTTTTATCATCTTATATTTGAAAGACACTGAAAGGTAATGATTGTTGCTTGGGTCTGTTTGCTCAGGTGCTGATGTTCACTGACAAGGAGAACTGGGAGATTTCTAAGCTGCTGGCTGCTATACTGCACATGGGAAACCTGAGATACGAGGGTAACGTGAAAAATATTACCAGAAAAGGAATTCACTGTTTACTCGTCCGCTGTGTTTAGCTTCCTGTAGCCATGTTTCCTTGTGAGTATTGTTCTTAGTGTCCAGTCCTTGCAGTCCACACAAGTACAGACATAATTAACACCTCGTAAAAATTATCTGTGATTTTAATTTTATTTATAAAGAAAACTTCTTTAGACACTCTGTTGATCTTTGACCTTTCAGCACGCACCTATGACAACCTTGATGCCTGTGAGGTGGTGCGGAGCCCTCATCTCACTACTTCTGCCACACTATTAGAGGTGACACACACACACACACACCCTTTCATCCTCTTTCATCCTGTTTTGCTTTTCTTGCCCCTCCTTCTTTTGATTAGATGCCCCTCATACACAGATGGATGGGCAACAAGTGGGCGGGACTTCTATGTTCACACCCATAGTTTTGTACCTACGTCCACTGCCTTCATTATTTAAAAACTCTGGTGAAGTTTAATATGATCATCCACCACTGTGACAGTATATATATGATAGAAAAGAAATAATAGTAGAACTGGCCAGCAGTTTCACCCTAATTTAAAGACCCCATTGTGCTCAGACACATTATCTACCCACCCTTCTCTCTTTTAGTCTAATCTAGCAGTGTCACTGTTCAGTGACACTCAATCAAACCTCCATTCAGGTGTTAATAAAAGCAGTTTTATGCTATTATTTCACAGTACTTCAAAACCGTAAATTTGATTGGATGTTTTGGAGATTCTTTGAGGAGCTCCTGTGTTTATGTGTCTCTGTGTGTTAAGGTGGACGTTAAGGATCTGATGAACTGTCTGACCAGCCGAACACTCATCACCAGAGGAGAGACGGTCTCCACCCCTCTCAGCATGGAACAAGCTCTGGATGTACGGGACGCTTTTGTTAAGGTACAGCTCATAATTATCACACTTCATTCATTTAAGTTAATGAACTAAAGGGGTTAAAAGCCCCACGTAGCAGAGATGATAAAAGAGAATAAGTTGAGATTGTCCAACACAGACTCTGGTGTGAACCTTTTCATTGTATTTCCTTTCCTTTAACACATTTTCAGAGCCATTCAAACACTTTAAGTATCTTACATCCTGCCATGTTTCATTTCGACCTGCAGGTTTGCAGAATAATGGTCTTCTTCACTGCCTCTTCCAACACATTTTTGCATTTCCACCAAGAAGTGGAATGAGACTGAGACAGTGATCAACACGCACATAATATCTCTACTAGAGATCAAATCCTTCATTGGGGACCTTTAATGTGTTGAACTGTGACTTTGTCTGTGTGTGCGCGCAGGGTATTTACGGTCGCTTGTTTGTGTGGATCGTGGAAAAGATCAATGCAGCCATTTATAAGCCTCCGTCATCTCAGCCCAAAGCGCTCAGACGCTCCATCGGACTCCTGGACATCTTTGGCTTTGAAAACTTCACAGTAAACAGGTACATTACACACTAACTCTCACATAGTGATGCTGTCCACCCTACCCACTAAATCTTTGTTCTGAGGGGTTTCCAAAGCCAGCTACAAATCCCTTGTGAGTGAAGTGTAACGTCCACGAATTTAAAAAGTTTGTTCTTATGCCTGTGGCATTGTTTATGTATTTATTTTGTGAAACCCACTGGCATCACTACATATTGAGTTAAACTGAAATATTCTGTCAGCATCATCAGCTTTTCCGTCACTTCTCGTCCTCGTTCCTGCAGCTTCGAGCAGCTGTGCATAAACTTTGCCAACGAGAACCTGCAGCAGTTCTTCGTGCGTCATGTGTTCAAGCTGGAGCAGGAGGAGTACAACCTGGAGAACATCAACTGGCAGCACATTGAGTTCACAGACAACCAGGACGCTCTGGACATGATCGCCATCAAACCCATGAACATCATCTCACTCATCGACGAGGAGAGCAAATTTCCGAAGGTATGCGCTCCCATATTTGTCTCACCTGGTCTTTGATTCCCCAAAGTTCAGCTCTGTAATGATGACGGTATACGTGCACCAGCAGTGGAGCATTTAGCAACCAAAGAACCAGAAATTCTCTGCAGGAGCTGAAGGACACCAGAAGCATTTAAAAAAAGAGTAAAAACTTGACTTACATTTACCATCTGAACAAAAGTACAACTGCAGATAAAAGATGCTACACAACTGTTGTACAGCTCTCGGGACAAGAGAAGCAGAAACACTGTGCTCCTTACAAACTGAGCAGAAACATGGCTACTGTGACAGCTTCTATTGGTTCATGGAGTCTGCGTTTTGAAGAATGTAAGGAAACCTGGCAATCAAGTGTGGCATGAAGCGGACTGGACACCTTAAGCTCCTCCCACAGGAACCAACCATGTATGCGGTTCTCAGTTCACTCACACAGGGGACATTTTCTATAGAAGAGTTCCCACACATAAAACACAAACACAAAAGTTCATGATGTCCTAATTGTTGTCAACCAGACCGACCTTCCAATAGACCTAATTTCCATCAACTTGTCAAATTTCAAACCCACCTAATATCAAAAGATTTGGAAATCTCCCGTTTCCTGTTTGACTTCCTGGATCTGTAACATAGTGGTGACATGGAGCCTACAACTACTGTCAGTAAAATTAATATAGATTAATAGAGGAATAGATTTTAATGTTGGCCCAAATGAGTTATTTATATTGTATGAAAATGATGACGACATGGATGCTGGGGAACTTTACCACCACATATTAGGACACATTTGTTTAACTTGGCTAAGACTTGGAGGAGATCAGTGAAAAAATGGCGCACAAAACACTGGCTTTACATTCACAGATGGAGCAACACTGTATTTTGCCTTCTTGATGTAACAGAATAATGAAAATTGAGTCTGTTGAATGGTTATCTGTCAGATAGTTCCATTAAACACAGCAAACTGCACACTTGACAGTTAAAATAACAATAGATCTGTATGTTTTTTTTTAACAAGAATCATCCACTTTACAGCTCATATAAACGGGGAAACTATCCATAGAAACTAAAAACCTTTTGTTTTTTTACCAGGTTTTAAACTTGTTTTTAAATGTAAAGCATCCTGAGGCATAGCAGCCTAAGCAGCACTGAATCACAGCGTGCTGGACACTGTTTTCACTACAACTCCAACAAACAGTGTGTGGAAGATTTTAGTCAATAAGGTGTCAGCAGCTTGTTCACAGCTTGTTTCTGCTGCCGCCATGTGGCCTAAAGACTCGAAGCCTTGTTTTTCAAACTAAACTCTCACATTTTCCTGCCTGTCTCCTGCAGGGCACAGACACCACCATGCTCAACAAGCTGAACTTTCAGCATAAACTCAACACAAACTACATCCCTCCAAAGAACAACTATGAGACTCAGTTTGGCATCCAACACTTTGCTGGAGTGGTTTACTATGAAACAAGAGGTCAGAGTCACTTCACACACACCACATCACTAAAAGATGCAGTTACTACAAGTTTCCCGTTGTTCGAATGTACAGTAAAAGAGATTTTATGAAGCCAGTCAGGATGGTTTTCTGATCTCTGGCTAAATAAAACTACCAAAACGACATACAGCCTAAAATCCTGCATTTAAATTCTTTGACCAAAGTTTCACCTAATGAGCTCAGTGTATGCACAAGTAACGCACCTGACCATGTTTTTCTAGTCTATGTCAAAGTGAGAGCGCACAGCTCTGGCTGTGGGCATCAAAGCTCCACCAACCTGCTCTTTAAACCTTCTGTTTATGACTTTAGTGGTTCATATTCAAAGGTCAAATTCATGCAGAGTCACACGAGTCACTGGTTTAAACCTGAAACTGATGCGGGATGGATGTTTGCTCGAAATCGTGTGCAGTGGTGGGCTTTGTATGTTTGCTGCCTGTAGTTGTGTGTCTTGATCTTTATCCCATTAGCCGGAGTGTGTATTTAAAACACGCTGAAATAGAAATAACAGCATGGAAGCACCACTTCCACTTAAAAATGTTTTACTAAGTCAGAGCTGAAAACATTTCTTAAAACATTACCGAAACTTATAACTGAAAGTTTCTTCACTGGATTTGGGCCCAAATTACACATTTCTATAGATCCACATGTCAGTTCTCAGGAAATCATAAATTTAATCTTTTATATCTTTTTCATGAATGTTTTTATGTCAGATCTTGTACAATTATTATAATTTTTTAAACTCCTTTAAACTTCTACAAATACATCGTAATCACCACTGACAAATAAATGTCGTAAAGTCAAATTAGCAATGTTTAAACCTTTGATGTTTCTAAGATGTTGACTTGTGTGTCCTGCAGGTTTCCTGGAGAAGAACAGGGACACTTTGTATGGCGACATCATTCAGCTGGTTCACTCCTCCAAAAACAAGTTCATCAAACAAATCTTCCAGGCTGACGTAGCTATGGTAACACACACACACACACACACACACACACACACACACACACACACACACACACACACACACACACACACACGCCTGTGTGACCACACCAGAACTATCACCAACCAGGCCCTGAACTGGAACTTAAACTAAACACTTGATTGGTGGATGCTGAGATTAGAAGCATTACAGCAGGTTGTGTTTCTCTGTGTTTGTTAGTGTAACAATTTGCAGAATTAATAACTTACTAACTTGTTCAAAGCAGATCCTGCTTTCCCTTATTTCTGTCATACTGTTACTCTGGTGAAAAGCATAAAACATGACTAGAGTTTCAAATAAACAGGCCCTGGTGTCTTATACTAGGCACATAGGCCCCACCCACCTGCTTTTTGTAAGGGTCAACCAATGAGAAGAAGGCAGCCATAATCAAGACCCACTATATCAAAAATAGGGATTTGTTTGAGCTATGAAAACCCAAGGATGGAAATAAACCGAAGACGTCCACTTTAGGATTTGTGTTACTAAATTTACATTTACTTTTCAGATCAGATGTAGACAGTATTTAGATGCTGTGGGAAAACCACAAACCTGGCAACTCTGATAACAGCGAGTGTGCTCTCTGGGTCCCTGAATGCAGCGGTACCCCATCTAGGAACCTCCTGACTGAGTGACACGTTCATTTGAGAACTGCAGAAAGTTTTTCTGAGCTGTTCTTCTCCTGCATGCTGTTGTTTACTTGCATGTTTCTCTTTGAAGTCCAGCCCAAAATAACATGTCTGACTTCTTTGTCTTCCCTCCCTGTGTGTCTCTTTGTTTGCATTTGCATGTCTGTGTGCTGCTTCTGCCAGTTTCTGTGTGGTTACGCTCCTGTTAGTTCAGCCACAGCTCCCTCCAAGGTAAAAATGAGAAATCAAACATCCCAGCGCTGCATTTTCATCCTCTTCATTTTACCATCTTCTTCCATTTCATTGATTCCTCTCTGACTTCAAACATGGTCTGAACATCCCATAGCTCACATACGTTTGTCATAGCTGAATGAGATTCAACCAAAAGGCTGATGAATACAACTCCATGTCAACTATGGTGGTTATTTTCCTACTGTGTGCTTTCATCTGTGAGTAATGTCACAAGATTATACCGTAGCTCACCGATCATTTTTATTTTCTGCCTTAAAAGTGTTTTAGTCTCATGTAGAAAGAAAAAAACAAAAACAAAAAACCTCTTTTATAAACAGTTTCATGTCACATTCATTGTAATTTTAGTCTTTTATACTTTTTTGTGTTTTTATTTTTACTTTTAAAAATGATTTACCCTTTCTTTATTGCAACACAGTCACAGCATATATTTGAAGCATCTTTTAAAAAACATCATTTATTGTTTGTTTCTTATCCATTTTACTGCCGTGATGCTAAACAAATTCAAAGTTAGTACTGAGTCAGCGAGGTAAAAACTAGCATTAGTAAATATTACCAAATATTTATTTTATTTATTTTTTATCTATGTTGTTTGTTTACACTGACAAACTACATTATTTTGTGACATCAGATGCTGCTTTAGCAAACTACTTGACATATTATAAATGTAATTTTCACTAATGATTACTTTTTAAAGTTTTAAGGGCAGCAAGGTTTCTGCTCCACCTAAAGCTGTTAATAAACATGGATTATATTAGTATTCGAGTTGTTTTTAATAATCAAACCAGTGCTGAATCCAGACCTGTGCATTAATTTGCTTTTAATATAATTATAACTCTTATTTATATTTTATCACTTGAATGTATTAATTGCAGTGTTGTAATAGATGCCTGTTACCGCCGGAGGGCAGCAACGTTTCTATCACACGAACACCTCCACAGGCGGTGACGACGTTTATGTGACGGTGTTGATCGGTGCAGAAGCTCGTGCTGTGAAGTCTGCGCGCTGATGTAACTTGAAGGTAGAAGTGAGTGAACGGGGTCAGATTTAGATCAGGTCGCTGAGTTTAGCCTGCGCAGGGAAGCAGCAGGTGATCTGTAAACGGCTCAAACACCGACGGAAACACTCATTTCCACCTCAGTGAGGCTCAAGTACAAACACGCAGGATGGAGAAATATTAGAAAGTTTTTCTCTTTATACAAAGCTCAGTTTGCTCTGTGCTCACGAAACTCTGGTAAGAACTTTTGTTTCTCAAATTTCGCTCTCTATCATCATCATCATCATCATCATCAT